GGGGGGGGGGGGAGACACTGCCTGAGAGAAATAACTCTTGTTCTAACCAGCACAAGGGTCAGCATCTTTTGATGGTAAAAAATAACTTTCAAATACTGCAATGACAAGGAGGAAGGGAAACATGAGCAGCTCTAGAAAACACAAGAGATTAAAAAATCTGAATGAGACCAAAAAAAGCACAAAAAGATGAATACGGACGATACACCGAAGCACTCAGCCTGACAGAACCCTCCCTCATGAACACATTATACACATACACACCCGCTCGCACACACATAATAGTCAGGCAGATGCCCCAAGGAGGGCAAATCCAAACGTCTGCTCTCTTTGGGATTCTCATGGCAAATCTGAGTGTAGGCAAAAGTGAAGCCCTTCCTGGGGTCTAAACAAATACTCAGGAAGCAGCCTTTGCTCCCCATTTTAGCCAATGTTGCTCCTATATTTGCCTGAGCCCTTCACGACTGTCTGGGCACTACAATTCATTCTTCATACTCCTGGAGTTTAAATCACTGCTAGATCTTCTTCTCTGTAGATCTAACTTCACCTGTAATGGAAGCACCTCCCTTTTGGCTCCTGTACTCCCTGCTCTTTCGGGGGAAAAAGCATCCCAAGACAGTGGTAATTAGAAGGTGTTCGGGAGTTGGAAAGTAGGAAGAGAGTAATATAAATACAATAAGGAAATGCCTGTTACTCTCATATGATTTCTCTGAGACCAGGTGGCTAAGGGCCTGGCCTTCAAGGATAGGTTTTAGGAGAGGCCTTAATTTAAGGTACTGCGATCTCTGCTCACAAGAGCCAAGTAAGACAGTGCTCCTTGGAGGTTGCTGTAGGAATCGTACTCAGTACTTATTTCCATCCTAGGTGCTCTTCTGACCTCTCTGACTTCAGTCCTTCTGGAGTGAGGTCACCTGGCTTCTCTGATGCATGACCGGTCATTTTTAAAGCATGTTTGGCAGTGGCCTACGAGAGGTTTCTGCCTGGGTATCGTGGATCAGCACACACTGACTAGCGCATCTACCAGGTGATACGGACGGAAAGCAGGTTTCCTCAACCACTGCAGACAGGCACAGCCATGCAAAGAAAGCCACCCATCACGGTCACCTTTTTGTCAGATGCCCCAGTTTCAGGATCATAGAATTTACCACATGAAGTGTTAATACTGGGTGACAACCAAGCTTTTGCTTCCCTTCCTCAATGAGGGTCACGCAAGAACCCACAGGAACAGGCTGGACACACAGGCCCTGCTCATCTGGTTTCAGACATTGCCCTCAGCTCCAAATCCTGCACTTGGAACCGCTATTATAACTTAGCTCCTAATCACACTGGATTCTGCTCCAGTTTAATTTACCAAGGCATACCTTCTGAGCCGCCTCAGTGAAACCAGTGTGGCCCACTGGCTTAAAATTCTAAGTGCAGCAGTGCCTAAGAAGAAAGAGTCCCACAGGAGGGAGGACTGGAGGGCATAAGGCAGGAGACTATACACAATCAGTAACACATTTTCAGAAAATGGTGGGCTTGGGGGAAGAGGGGAGAGAAATAAACAAAATGTCCCAATAATTTAATGGCAGAGCTAGAAGAGAGCATTTATAGCTATTCTGGGACTCTCCAACAAAAAGCTTTTCCTGGATGCACAGACATTCATAATACTGATAACTCTCAGTCGACAGCTCTGGCTTGTACACGTGGTCACGATGCCCTTTGTACAGCAGCGAAGAGCATAACAAAACGCCGACAGGCATCTGGACAGCACACAGCAAAACGAAAGGCTGAACTCCCCCCACCCCGACAGAATCCCATTTAGAAAAAAGTTTGTCTATTACAAAGTCACGTTTTCTGTTTTTCCGCTTTATAAAGTCAGCGATGCTGGAGGGTGTCTAGCGGAATCCGTCCTCCAGGAATGAGTGCAAAAGGGGAGCGCACGGCTCAGGGACGTCCCTTCAGTGAGCAGATGGAAGGACCAGCTGGAGACCTCCCATCCATTTTGGACAAACACACACATACAGAAAAGGATTATTGCCAGCTTGAGTACTTTCACAATGTGATTTTTGTATTTCGGAAGCTTGAATTGTCCCTGAAAGAAAAAAATGGGAGAAAACAGAGCATTCAATACACAGATCTTCTACAGGCAACAACACACATACGGGGCAGGGATGGGGCGGAGACCTGAACTCAGCAGCTCCAGGGCCCTCATGACACACCCCAGAAATTTCCTTCCTTGCTAATCTAATGCCAACATAGCAAACCACCTCCCAAGTCCCTTTGAACACTTCAACTCGACTATTTTCAAGAGCCAAAGATTAGAAACAACCCACATACTTAGCAAAAGGGCACTGGTTAAATACAACTATTATGGCACATTCATTCACTGGGACACTTGTGCAGCTTAAAAAAAAACAAGCCAAGGAAGCTCACTACTAATATGGAAAACTCTCCAAGAGAAACTGAGAAGGTATGGAATAGTGTATGTACATGGTACACCACCTTTTGTGTAAGTGGGGGTGGGGGAAATAAGGTCATAGTTCATATCGCTTGTATGGACATAAAGTCTATAAGGCCACCCAAGAAACCAACAACAATGGTTACATGGGGCAGTGGAGGAGGGAAAGGGGGGCACAGCAGAAACTGAGCAGGTGCAGTTAGACTGGGGAGGAAACCCCCTTTTTTCTCACACTCACCCATATGCACACATACTTAAAAAAAAAAAAATCAAACGATGTGATTATATCATGTATTCAAAAAAATCAACCTACCAATCAACCAAAAAACTCTCTGTTCAAAACGTATAGCTACTTATAAAAGGATATTCCACGAGGTGAAATACTCATAGCCTTTAGACACTTAGCTATAATTCTTAAAAGAGAAGCATGTGTGTATGTAACACATGGTAAGTCATATCCTCTTAGTCGCCTTCTCTTGGATGTAGACAGGCTTGGCCACCCACCAGAAACCTTTCCTGTTCCACACTAGAAATCCAACATCTCAGCATTTCACATTGCCATTTGAATCCCACAATCTTAGGGCTGGAAAGGGCTTTAAAGGTCACCTCATCTGCTGCTATAGCTCAGAGCTTCAGACTTTAAAGTATCTGAAATTCTAGAACAGAAATACTCATTAATCTGATTTTTGAGTCATTACTTCCTTTTAGTTTTAGTGGGATATTCTAGAAGCCTTAGCTTTAACTGACCCATCTTAAAATTGCTACAGCTTATTGGGTGTATGGCTATTGGCACAGAGTACATATGAAAGAATACGCTCAGCCCAGACAAACAGCAGTCTCCAGTTAGCAATAACAGATTCTCCCCTATGATGGCAGCAGGCTGACAGGAAAGAACAGCCCTCAATACACGAGGAGAATGACTGTGGACAAGTACACTGAGAGAGGAAACCAGAGCTGGTGTAGGTGAACTCTGGCTGGGAAGAAACTGATGTTATCTCAACGGACCACTAGTATTTTTATAACTGACATGCATGACCATGTAGCTCATTTATCCATGGCTACTGAGCATTTTGAAGATTTCCACCTAAGGAGGTAAAGACTGAACACAAAGAAAAACCTAATGGGGTGATCATCTTTTTAAAAGGCCTTTCAAAAGGACAGATCCCACTGAGGTGCCACAAGTAGCTAGCAAAGGATGAATAAGGTTGTATCTGATTATAAAACAGACAAGCAGGCGTAACTGATGTGTGCGTGTGACTTCTGAGTCCCCTTGGGGATGATGTACTACTGAGACTGTGTCAGAGAAGCCCTCTACTAACAAAAGAAGTGATCAGGAAGGAATGGTTTGCTCTGTTCCCTTTCTTCCCTTTTGATGCCCCCTCTATCCCCACAGAGCAACTGGATCACAAAAGTCAATCAGCAGGGAGAAATAAAATGAGTAAATAGAAAGGCGGAGTGTGGGGACGGTAGCATCACAGGATTTTCTGACTGGGAAAATGATTTATCTTGGAGTAAGAGAGATGGCAGGCAAGCGTCTCGACCTGCCTTTCATCTGTTTAGTGACGAAGAGGGAAGAACTTTCCGGACAAGTCATCACTGTAAGCAGGTCACCTTTATCTTTTGGAAAAGTCTCTGTACTGTGCTGGGCTTAGGCCACAGACAAATTTTCTCTCTGTGGCAGGTAAACTGAAGAGCTCTATAATACTTTCCTATCCAATCCAGGTATTTACTATTTATTCTAAGTACTTCTATTATCACAGATCTCTTCAGGGTCAGAAAATCTAAGAAATCACAATTATTCTAAGGTTTATTTGTAATGTGGAAAAGGGGAGAAGAGTAAGGAGCCAGAAAAATCTAGCTGAGCTTGTCCCTTTGATATAAAGGAAAACAAAGAGCAATGAGAACGGGTGACAGGCTCCTGACAATGACAGGCTGGTGGCAGCTGGTGGCTCTGGTCCAGCTTTTCTAAAAAAAAAAAATGGGCTGAGAACAGCTCGCTGCCAGATTTAGTCTGAGGAATGCGTTCACCTCAGACCAGCTGAGAACTAATCCACCGTTCTGTCCCTCACCCCGGGGCTGCAGTGCCAGAGAGATTAGGAGACACAGAAAGGAAGGAGGAAGACAGGAAGTGGCAGAGGTCACAGGCAACTTTTAATTTTTTTTAAAAAGATGGGCTTCTGTTCTTTTAAAAGCAAACTGTAATTTAGAAAATCCAGAGTGAGCTCCTAAAAGCTAGCCCCTCTAGCCACCCAGCAATGTTGTAATGGTGCATGGGTGACCAGGAAGGGTTTTCTGTTGTTTTTGTTTTTTTAATGATACAACAGATCTTTTAGAAGGAAATAAGAACATTTTTACATCCTCATCTGTGAATTTACGTAAAATAAGCAACTGGGACTGGGCCTAGTGTACTGATTTAAAGGGGCTTTTCAGACATCAGTTTTTCCACTGTATCTTAATTTATTCCCAAGGATTTTTACACATCAGGGCACAGAAGCCAAAAGACCCACAAGGCTAGAGAAGTCAGAAAGATGTGCTCTACCGGATGACTCTTTGTCCTGATAGTGGGGCCTCAGAAATACCAGAGCCCTAACCAAACTGGCTTCCAACTTCACATTCCCAGGCATCTTAGGCAAATCTATTGCCCAAATACTCTGAAATAGCTTTCTAATCTGCTTTGCCTCCCCATAATCACCTTTTTCATCCTTCTAGAGAAAAGGACAAGTTCCAACTCTGGGAAGAATAAGCTGAGGTAGAGGCTGGCTCGTGAGGGTGGACAACAGAGAAGTACGGTGGCCGGTTCCTGACAGGAACGCCTCTGTTCTTGTAGGAAGCTATCGCTGAGCTCGTGCCCAGCAAGGGCAGCACAGTTGTTCTGGGGCCTCAAGGGAACACTGAGGAGGAGCCCTACCTGACTCGGCTCCGGAGGGGGATCTGAGAGTACACTCACAATTCAGCCTACACACGGTCTTCCGAGGAACATTCTCTGTCAGCTGTCCACCCCAGGCTAGCTCTGGCTTCCTCCCCTCTCCCTCACTGGATAATAAAATTGCAAACCCTTCCTAGGTTCAGTGGGGCAAGTTTCAGCCTCTAATCTCCCACTGAGTGCCAACTTCATTCCCCAACAACACAGATCACTGCTCTGCGCTTGCCAGGCCAGACACATAAGTAACCCTCAATCCTCCCCAGCAGCTAACCGGGACTACTATTGAAGCCATGGTTAAAAGTGCAATCCTGATTTATAATGCAGATCAAATGAAACCGTTCTAGAATATTAGCAGCTATATGTAATAGCATAAAATATCAGGTAAACTGAGGAGAAGTATTTGTGCTTCAAGAAGAATTACTTAAAAAAAAAAAAAGAATTACTTAAATAGCAGTTTTTATTTCTCCCCAGATCATGGTCTACTTGGAAGGGGGGAGAAGAAAAGGTGGAGAGGATGAGGAGCTATGAGCTGGAGGTACCCAGCCTCTTAGAGCACCTTGTCCAGGGGTAAGGCGATAGGAATGAAATTGGAGTCCTTTTCAGGTCTTTAGGACAATGAAGTGAGGTGATTTTTTTTGTTTAGATGCTAATACTCCTCTCAGACTTCCAAGGCCATGTGTTTCAAGAACACCTAGGGAGCACCTAACTGGCTCAGTCGATAAAGCATCCGACCCGATCTCAGGGTGGTGAGTTCAAGCCCCATGTTGGGCGTGGAGCCTACTTAAAAAAAAGGTGTGTGGGGGGGGACACCTAAATTATGTAGTGCTCCTGAAGTGCTTTCTTCATCTGCCAGATAAAAAAGATACAGGGGCAACAAAAAGAACAAAGAGACTGCAAAATGGTAATGATATAAAACGTGATTTTGAGGCAATTCAGGTATCTTTCCCGAGGGATTCAGTGTTAGTGAAAGGGGAGGGAATAGTTTTAAGTTTTCTCCCATTCTGACTCTTCCAATTTCATTTTAAAGCCTTTCCTCCCCCTTCATGGAACATAAGATGCTACTGATTTTTAAAGATCCCATTGTTTTATGTACTCTAAGTAAATACTGCCAATTAAACTACGTCAAAATTTTTCTTATCATATTCACTGTGAGCAACCTGATTTTAGGGATATTAAAAAAAAAGGAACCCTACAAATAATCAAATATGGTAATGTTATTAAAACAATTCCAGGGCGCCTGGGTGGCTCAGTCATTAAGCTTCTGCCTTCGGCTCAGGTCATGGTCCCAGGGTCCTGGGATCAAGCCCATCGGGCTCCTGACTCAGCGGGGAACCTGCTTCTCCCTCTCCCTCTGCCTCTCCCCCTGCTCATGCTTGCTCTCTCTCTCTCTCCTCTCTCTGTATCTCTGTGTCTCAAATGAATAAATAAAATCTTTAAAAAAACCCCAATTCCACTATAGTGCCAGGGCTCTGGAAATCTGACTTATTTTTCATCCTGCAAATCAGTGTAGCCAACATGACAGCCCATGCATGTTTTTCATCCCTCCTGGTATATACTAGCAGCCACCTCAGAGTTCTGTTGACTATATTTTACAGAGAAACCTTTTAAATAAACGGCAATTTTTAAAATCTAGCATCATCTAAAAATTGAATTTATAATAAAGGAATTAAACTATTAAAAAAGAGACGAGTGGCATTATCCATGCGTGCAGTAATTCTGGGACTGTTTATCTACAGATCATCCCAGCCCCACAGAGTACTCAGACCCCGGGCCACCTGCTTCCGTCCCTCAGTGTCATCCTCTCTTCATGCCCAGCCGAGGGATGCTGGTCTCCTTCTCTTGAAACTGCCTCATTTCCTTCCTGGGACGGGGGAGTTCTGAAGCAGCTACTATAGCTGACATGTTCTGCTCCAATTTTAGCACTTCTCTCTCTCACAGGGATGGGGGTGGTGGTTGTGGGGGGGTAGTTAATGTCGAGGAATATGCTCTCAGGGCAGGCACATGCGGATACTGTCCTTTCATCCAGAATCTACTGACCCAGTTCCCTCTGCTAAAGAGACAGACATGGACTTGGCACTCTCTTAATTGAAATACAAATGTTCTTAAAGTGAATGTGTCAGTCGACCTGCCTTCGATTTCCCAGGGCCTCTCCCTGCCAGTAAGCGTGTGGCGGTCTAGTGAGAGCACAGCCTGCGTCTACCCCAGCTCATTCTCATTGTGAAACCCTCAGGTTCTGTCACTGTCTGCTCCCAACTGACAACCACCACCAGCAAACAAGAGCCATCTTCACCTAATTCACACCGGAGCCTATGGAATTGGCCTGTTAGTCACAGGACACTGCCAGATGGCTTAAAAATGGCCACGTCTGGGCAAAAGACAAAGGATCTGTGGCACATTTATAAACATGAAATGTTGGCATCGCAAGAGATCCGAGACACTCTAGTCCGTGGAACCTCACTTTTCCAAATGAGAAAATAGGGGTATAGTAAGTTAAACAATCTTCCCAGAGGTTCACCAGGAGACAGGTGACCCCGCAAGGATGGTTCCGTGGCTTTGGACTCAGGACTTTTCTGAGACTGTGACGACCAGTCAGAGAGGAGAGGCTCGGGAGCAGGCCCCACGTTGGCAGAGGCATGGCTGCTAGTACGTGGGGGAGAGCGCATGCCCTTGGGAAGAGGGGGCCTGGGGCTGAGAGGTATGTCACAAGGTTACAGAGAAGATAGACAAGGCCCTACCCTGAGTGTGAGAGACAGAGGGGAGCGTCCGATCAGCGGCCGCTGCTGTTCACCAGGCCATGAAACTCCTCCCAGGCCCTGGCAAACCAGAGACAAAAAACACAATAGCACATTCAGGTCAACAGCTTTTTAACAAAGAGCGCACAGACACGATAACCCCACATCCCGCTCCCAATACCTCCAGGTCGAGTGGCGCCCACCAGTACCTGGAAGCCCAGCGATAAGGCTTCCCATCTGGACTTCCCACTCACAGCAGCAGTGGTGGCCAGCCCCCCTCAGGGGCAGTTGGCACTGCTCCCGGCTTGCTCCACTGGTGAAGTCTGACCCTCACTATTCCCTCAAGCATTTGCCACAGTCCTCCTTCTACCTGCTGCTTGCAAGTCTACCGGGGGGAGGGGGGATCGGGGGGCACTGAGGTCAGAGCTAAGCTCGACCATCCCGAGAGATCCCTCTCAGCACTGGGGTGAAGGGCAGCGGTGCTTTCGGCCTTGGGGGCATGAGGACGGGCGGCAGGAACTCCTTTTCTTCATCAGGCCCCACCCTGGGGGTAAGGGCAGTTACCAACGGCATCATGACGTCTGAAGATGCAATGAGGCAACTATAGCACTTTCTCTGCTTCCACATTTCCAACCTTCTGACCCCTCTCAACTCACACCCCCAAATTTGTATCAGGTTCCATCTGTTTCTGGAAATACCCACGTAACTATTAACTTAAACTGTGTAGGCCACAGTTCAACATTTCTCGGGATCAGTGCTCCTTATAACTTTCATGCCAATTAACTCGATTTAGTAATTGCGGTTAGGAAGGGATAAGAACTGTGATCGAGGGGTACACAGTCTTTCCAGGTGCTGCTCCACGAAGAACAAGCCCTTGGTGACTGCTGGCCAAAAAGCAGGAGAAAACCAGATTCCCCCATGCATCCTAAAGCCCTAAACCACGAGTTTCCTCGGAGGAGCTGATGTCCTACCTTTTTGCCCTACTTTTCAGCCCCACTGGGGACAAAGTGCCTGGTACGTTCCCTGGGAAATTATACATATATAAAATGGGTAATCTGGTACTTCTAAATAGAAAATTCCTTATTGGCAATTATTCCATTCTTGGTTTAAAGGGATGACAATACCCAGGGTGACAACTCACTACAGGTTTAATATTATGGCCAAAGAATATACTTCATTACTAGGCCTTCTATGGGTAGCTTTTCTTTTTTTTTTTTTAAACAGGGAGGGATTAAATACAGTGACCTGGTATGACAAATTCCTTCTTTTGGGTAATATTTGTACGTTTCATTAGTTTTTCCCTCTTTTGAACAGCGGCAGCAATTATAAGTTAATGATCTACCTCAAGAGGTAGATCTGCGGTTGATGGTTTCTTCAGAGAGTATTACCAAAGCTACTCATACATGCTAACTGAATTGAAGAAAAATGTAAGACCGCCAAACAAGCGTGCCAGTCTTTGTCAATTCACAAACTCAATGTCCACAGCAAGACATCTGTTCCATTCCACAGCCCTTTCTGGAGAGGCAGTGATGCGGTGAATTTCCTGAGTCCGTGAGTGACATCAGAAGGCTATTTCATTCTCCACTCCAAACGAAGATAAGGGCAAAGCACGTCCGATGCTTGGGCAGCGGCCTAGGAAACCCCTCTCTCCTTCTAACAGTGAGATTTCAATTCTATTTTAAGCAATTTAGGTGTCAACAAGGAATTACATGGCTGTGTTGAAGCTTCATCTCATTTATCCTTTTGTTTCCAGAAAGGCCTACGCTAGTCCAAACAGAGCAGTTCTGTGTCAAGAACCTGCAGAAATACATATTTCAGAGTTCCCCTCTAATCCATTCCAGTATGAAACTGCCCTCCCATTTTCTTCAGAAGGATCTTCTTCAGATGCTAAACCTCAACATGAAGAATCTGGGTACAGAAATTTCCTCAAATGGATTCAGTGGAAATCAAAGGTCATAGTCATTGAACAATCATTCTTACTCTCGTAGGCCAATGCTTGGTTAAGAGGCAAGTCAACCACCTAGAGCTAGGTACGAATTTTCTAGCTATTCTCCATCTGGCATCCCAGGTATTTTAGGTAATATTAAAACTTGCTTCTTTTAAAGGTGAAGAAAGAACAAATTAAATGTTAGAAGTGTCATATGAATGGAGTTAAAAAAAAAAAAATTGCCCTGAGATTAACAGAGCCTACAGGGAATTCTGAACAGATTCAAATGACAGAGTGACAAAGAGTCCTTTAGAGACCACTCTTGTCCCAGCTCACTTACCAGAAAACAAATTCTGACAGCAGAGATCTCATTTCTGGGTAACTGTATTTGCCCCCACCCTGCCTAAAGCCTGCTTCACAGCCTTGCGCTCATCTGGCACTTGAGATACACTCACGGATGAGCTCAGCCTCCTGCCAGTCTGGGCTTTCTTTGCTTTGAACATCAGTATGGGGAACATTTCATAAATGCAAAGCTAGGCCAGCAATTATGCTGGTGTGACTCAGTGCCACCAGGCTATGATTCTAATTTAGCTAAGATAGGAGAAGGGATGGGTCGCTCTTGCCTACAAAGTTCAATGTTTAAATACAATGAAATCTAGATGTGGTAAAGTGAAGTCCCCATGTTTGACCCAGCTCTCCTCTAGAATAAAGTAATAAAGAGAAATCACCTACCCTCAACTTTCTGTGCAGTGGGGTCTGGTCAGACTCCCCAGTACTGTGGCCCACTGAGTGAAGCTGGCCCTGTCTTCCCCTTTTCCATTTCAGGCCAGATGCACAAAGGAACTCAATGGGACTATTCCAAAGAGGAATTTCCTCACAAAAGATATTGCTGCTTTATGTGGCTCTGTGTCAAGTTTTATCCCTGCTGGTTGCAAGTCTGGCTGCCTTAGGAGATTTCTCCTCAGAGAGGATACAGTTAGTTACTTGATGCTTGCAAGGACCCAAACCTATGAAACCTCAACTACGATTGGTCTCATTAAGAGGAGCCATGCACCTGAGCTAACACTCAATTTAACAGGTTTCCCATTTGTCCACGGGACCTGCTCACCCTTCACGGGTGGAACTATTGGCAATGAACAACAGTAGGAGGCAGCAGGCAGGTGTTCCCTGGGCAGCAAACCAGCTCACCACGCCCGGTATGCAGCAGCACCGGCCTCAGCTCACCTAGGAGTGCAGCAGGAAGAGGCCACAAGCAGCGTGACTAGGGAAAGGCCGGAAAAACCAAACAGTTGAAAAAGGACATTGAAAACTGGACTGAAACACAGCAAGGTGGAGAAACGTGACTGAGAAATCGAAGCCACTCCTAGAAAAATGGCCCTATTTCTAGCAGCCCTACTCTCCAGAGAACTTGGGGGAGAACAAAGGTTCCATTCCTTCTTCCTTCACTTCCCCTGACTTCTCAGGGGAAGGGGCAAGGATCACAGGAGCCTCCGCCTGGGTTTGGTGCTTTCTGATCAACTCTTACTCTGGATGGTGACATCAAGCTCATCTCCTGGACCACTTATAGAGCCGAAATTAAGGTCAATACATGTAACATAATATTGGAAGGCAAGAGGGAAAAGGCCATAGAAGGTAATTCTTTGACAATACTAAAAACATAGAGAACAGGCATTTCCATATGCCAACAAACCTCCCATTTTCCAGGTACTTCAACCAATTTTGGATATGCAATAAGCAGAAAACCAATCACACAAACACCTCCAGAATGTTAAAGGCTAGTCCCACTGTGTGTTCTGTGAGATCCCGGGCCACGTGCAGCTTGGTGGTCAATCAGGATGGTAGAAGCACAGGGTGTTGCTGCCAAAATGGAAGAGCCGCTTTGGAAAACTCCATAGTACACCCACAGCCACCTTCAAGATGCTATCAGCAATCTAACCTAAAGTTCTGCAAAAATTGTTTCTTTTTGGTTTGGGTAGGAGCTCCTAAGAAAACTTAAAAGTAGTATGAGGCCTGTTGAAACCCTACGTGCAGGTCAGGGGCCTAAAGGCCGCGTTGTAGCACGTCCAAGCCAAGCCACAAAGCATCTGAGGGGCTGGTATGTGCTACAGTCAGATATCCCAAGGAGCAAACTCTTACAGGATGAAGACATTTCCCCACCCCAGATCCCGATGCACAACAACCCTGGTGACCGGGAGAAAGGGAAGGGCTAGAACCCTGAAAACTTACAAGCAGGACTACCTCGAAGAGGAAGAGGATTTGGCTCTAAATGGAAAACAGAAGGGAGAAGGCCAGCAGAGAGCTCGCGGCTTGGGCAGCTCTGGCAGCGAGAAAACCCTGCTAACACAAAGCGAGGCAACTGTAAACACACAGCCACACGCAGACGGAAGCAGGGCTTTCCCTTCAAGCAAGAGAGTTCTCTGAAGTAAAGGCAAACAAAGTCAGCGAAGCAAAGGCCAAGGATCCCCCTTTCCAACCTTAACAGACTGTCAAGCTGAATTCTAATCAGAAATCACTCTGGTCATCAGCGTGACCAGACGGGAACTATAAATTCAAGTACCAGAAAACGGGGTGTCATTTTGAGAGCGAGATGTCACCTCATTATGTCAGACCTCAGCAGAACTGGAACAAAATACCATGTGACACTACAATGGGCTTATGGAAATGAGGCTGCATTCCCCCGATGGCCCTCCATGGAGAAGTCTGTGCCATTCCTTAATATGGTGACAGTCAGTCTGAAAGGCCACTTCTTTGATGCACCATAAAGAGTGAGAGCATGAGACAAGCTAGTTTAGCACCATTTATTAAGTGATCTCAGCTGTTGTTGTAGCTGCTGCGTGTCAGCCTGTTCTTAAAACATAAAATGCTCTTCAATTCCTCTTGTCCAGGACAGAAGGATCTTCCAGGTAGCACGCCAACAGAACAAGAGACTCCGATGATGCCAGCTTCAATGATGGTGCCATCCAGAGAGGGAGAGGGTCATGGCACATTCACCCGCAGCTTCCAGAGGTTTTGAAAAAGGAGCCTTTGGGGGCCCAGCCTGCCTGGCATTCTAGTGGAAGTGCAAAAGGTGGGCACATTGGGAGAGGAAAGAGAGGGAGACGCGAGGGAAAGTAGCATCTGGGACTCAAGGAGGGTTTCTGGTCCCTATAGCTGCAGGGCTAGAGTGCTAGGCAGATCTCTTGATAAAGCAGCAGAGCAGCAGACTAAGGCAAAAAGCCCAAGGGCTCTCCTAGACTCTGTAAGGACTTGGCTCATATTTCTACAAAAGTCAGGAAGAACCACCTCAGGGTATTAGAGAGGGAGAACAGTGGAGAGGGGAGAGTTGAAAAATACCTCTTTCCCTTTCCTAGCCAGGTGAAAGCTTGCTTTTGAGGGGTAGGGGGGTGGAGGGCATTTGGGAACCTTGAACGTAAGAGTCCTAGAAAAAGTAGGTGTGGATCTCTCCAGCCTGGGCTGTGTCTGGCTGGAGGGCAGAAACTATTCTCTCCCAGAACGAAGAATGGGGAAGTCTACCTAGAGAAAAACAATGCTAACTCAGGACTGCTAAGGCAAGCAATTGGGGCCATGGCTGGCTAATAACTGTTGGTGGCTATGGATGAGTCACAGCCAGCCATCTCATTATGGACCAACTCTTGTGGCAGTGTTCCCAGTAAAAAACTGGCACTTAGCTGGTTTAAGCCAACTCCACCCACAACATTCTCTGTGAATGCATGGGAAAAAGATTCCCAAATAGTTTGCCTGCTGAACACCAACACTGGGCTCATTACTAGTCTTTAATAAGAATAACATGATGATGATATTATTACTAATGATGACGATGATAGCAATAATAATACTTCACCCTGTAAGAGCATTCTCCACCTGAGGACCTTCAATTACAAAGATTAAATCAGCCTCACAACAACCCTGTTAGGTAAAGTATTATTATCCCCCATTTTACAGATGGGGAGACTTGAAGCAGAGTGGCAGAGACTTGCCAAAGGCACATATTGATACTGGAGTCAAAGGAGAGAGTTAAACCTAAAAGTCCCGACTCCTAGTTGGCTAAGCTCTCCCTCCAGTTTTGAGAAAACCTGACAGCCACTCCCCACAACTTCTTCATAATATCACATAAAAATGGTGGCAAGTGGATTATTGATCATAACTGATCACTGAAGGAGCAACCCTAACCAGTGATTCTCACTTGTGGACATCCAACTGTAGGTACCCTGAGTACTAGGCAGATCACAAAGCTTACTTCCCCTTTGGCATTCATGCTTCCCCCTTAGATTCTACTCTCACAAACACACTATTCTGCTTCCTCTACAATTTCAGCTCTACACACAAGGAAATAGAGTTGTCATTCCCGGTAAGAAGTCAATTTCCCAGGACAAAGAAAACAGACTGACGCTAACAGGTTAAAAAGACATGCAAAAGTGGGGTGAGGGGTGGAAAGGGAGGAGGACTGGATTGTTCAGTGAAATTATCTTAAAAAACAGCAAGAAAATGAAGAGCACTTTGTCTTTCATTTTAAGATAGTGGTTAGTGAATGAAAGACAAGACAGCCTGTGTAAATAAAGCAAGCCCAGGCAGTGCAACTGGGATTCTGCAGAAGGGCTCTCTCTGATACAAAGTGCCCCACAGTGTAGGTGGGCAGGGAGCCTCACCAGCAAAGAACTGCTACAAGTGGCCAGAAGCACTAGAGGGGAAGACTGGTCTGTCCCTTCTCCAGAAGTCAGGCTCCTGTACGACCATATTCCTCCGGGCCCAGCTAAGGACCTACTTCTCCTAAGCTTAGGGACATGCCCCCCAAGCACCCCCAACACGTACTTGATGCTGTCGGTGTGGGTTTTGTACTCCATAATGGTGTTGGGAGGTAGGTTAAGCACTCGCCGAAGCGTATCTCGGATTCGGGCTGTGGTTGCTTGGTCACTGGCAGTCTTATTCCATATTGAAATAATGTCCTCCTATAGGAGGAACAGAAGGAATCGTCAAAGCAAACCAGAGGCAGTGAGGAGAGCAAAGGCAACACAAGAAACCAGACCTGCCTATGGGGTGGCTTACCTGAAACCGGACAGAGACCACAGCCCCACAGATCTCCTCCCCAACCATGAACTGTTCCCCCAACATGGCCAGGATAAGATTCTCCCAGCAACGGGATGCCAAGCCCTTCCGCAGCCGAATAATCCACTTGCCACCATTTTTATTTGCATCATCCTGTACAAGAGAGAAAGCATTAAAGTTAAAATGTGGTTTCGCAGGTCTTTTACTTTTGTATGAAGGCAGGAAAAAAGCCAGGGATCCCTTGAACACTTAAGATGTCTTGTCACTTTCCAGTTATTCAACTTTAAAGGAAAAATGGTGCTAGGACTAGGGAGACAAGAAATGGGAAGAAAAGAACAAGGTGGGAATCCTTGGTACAAGCCATAACAATGAATGGCTAAGCTGACCCTTTAAAAATAATCCTCTTTTTCTCGAACTACTTTAGGAACCAAAATAAAGTGATGTCAGATTTCAAACAGAGATCATTCCTCACTTCACTGAAAATTTACCAAGTGTCACTACGTCTCAAGCACACACACGTGAAGCCACAGTCTCTACCAGATCCAGTCTGGTACTGTTGATACAAGAAAGTGGAGGAGACAGCCAAGAAAACTAATCACAGCAGTAGAGTCTGACAAGTGTTGCTGTAACAGAGATACACTAAGTTAAAGAAGAACAAGACAGAAACACTCAAGAAGAGGAAACATTAAGCTAGGTCTTGAGGGACACAGAATTAGGCAGGTAAAGCAGGTGAAGGGTCTGTAGGCATCGAGAAAAACATGGCCTTGTACAAAGTGGGACTGTGTGTCAGGGAGATATGCAAAGAGGAAGGCTGGCTGCACCGAAGGGAAGGCCTAGGCATGCTGGGAGATGAGGCCTGGAGGGTGAGTGAGTGCAAGATCATGTGAGCAATGCAGAGCTGCACAGGGCCTATAGTTGGGTGTGTGTGTGTGTTCACATTTGTCTTCTAAAAAAATGCCCTGGCATCAGAACAGACGATGGATTACAGCAAAGAGATCACAGAGCTCAGCTCTGGGTCTCCAGCTACTGCCTGTCAGTAAGTTTACCTTTTACCCATTTCAATCACACATACACTACAGTAGTATATCACACACACACACACACACACACACACACACACACAAACAACCAGTTTGATGGGAATAAGGGTAATTAAAAAAAAAAAAGTCCTTTAATGTTGTTATAATACCATTTTAGTGATAAAAAAAATCTTTGTAAACACACTGACAAGCAATGACGTCAGTGCCTTTTCCCAGAGGTCCTGGCTCCAAGGATGTACCAAATAGTGATGCAGCTCTGAGAAGAGACTTCAAATACTTTTAACCTTAGCAAGGCTAAAAAAAAAAAAACCCAAACATTCAGAACAGTGGTCTGAGGTCCTCCAGGCTTACCTCCCACATGGGTTTAATTCCTTCTTTGAAGAGATGGAAGTCACTGTGGCCTGTCAGGTCCCCGGGACGTACCATGTGGCTATAAAACCTCCAGAACTGCTCCACCTGTAGAGAGAAGGCCCCAGAGCACAAAAGATGTGTCTTTCCTTTTTCTTTAAATGAGTATGAGATTTAGGCGAAGAACATAAACATGGAAGACACTCTGCTACAGACTCTACTTTTTGGAGGACACATTCTCATTTGGGGAAGTGTGTGGGAAGGCAGGCAGGTTGCATGGGAAGTATAAAGATACAATATTGTTGATACAAGAAAAAACTCTTTAGGTGGAAAATGCCTCAGCCAGGAGCCCTAGTTGTGGAAGCCCCAGGATAGCATCACATGCTGTAAGAGGACCCTGTTTTACACAGTGGAATCCTTTCAGTTTCTTTTTCTTAAGTAGGCTCTAAGCTCAATGTGGGGCTTGAACTCATGACCCTGAGATTAAGAGTCTCACACTCGGGGCGCCTGGGTGGCTCAGTCGGTTAAGCATCTGCCTTTGGCTCGGGTTGTGATCCCAGGGTCCTGGGATTGAGCCCCGCATCAGGCTCCCTGCTCAGCCGGGGGCCTGCTTCTCCCTCTCCCTCTGCTGCTCCCCTCTCTCCCTCTGTTGCTCCCCCTACTTCTGCTCTGTCAAGTGAGCAAATAAAATCTTACAGTGTCACACTCTACCAGCTGAGCCAGCCAGGTGTCCCAACAGAGTGGAATCCTTTTAGTCTTGAGGTGTATGAAGTGCCACATAACCTCAGCCTGAATGTATTTTTTTTTAGAACCAAATCACTTTTTAAAAAATACATTATTAGGGGGGTGGGAGGCGGGGGGAAAAAAAAAAAACCATTATTATTAACTACAGTCATCATGTTGTACATCACATCCCCATGAAGTTCGATCACTTCTCAAAGACTGGTTTATTGGCAGATATAGCATTAACTACAATGAATACATTTTACTTCTGTTTGGTTATTGAGCATAAGTGATGGGATCAACCACACGCACTACTCTAAACCATAGCCAAAACCAACAGAACTCAGCGTCTCATATTTGGGCTTTAAGTCCCTCTTCTTAGCTAGAAAATTTATGTTTCTCCTTGTCCCTCCTTCATAATCCTTGCCCCTCTTTCATAATCCTTGCCCCTCTTTCATAATCCTGTTAGAAAATGACATTATTTGTCTATCAGATACATGCTTATTTCTACTCATCGAGCTGTTCCCGTTTCTCTCAGTAGTGCCATGATAAGGAGACCTTACTTCCCTAGTCCTTTGTAACTCACAGGGGACACCCACAAAGTACTGGCTAGTGAAGAGGCACACTTTAGGAAGAAAGAAAAAACATGGAATAGTGTGAAGTCAGTTGGTATTTGCCAATACACCAATGAGGAGGCTCTCAACAAACGCCCAGCAAGACATCATAATGTGTAGCTGAAAATGGGTATTGAGTAGACAGAGATTCAGGTCATACTTCTAGATGTGGATAGCAACTAAGGAGAAAGAGACCTTACACTCTATGAAGTGGCTGTTCCTCCAGTTCCTCTAGAGAACAGGAACACGGGAACTGTCTCATGTTACAAAGAAGTCAGGAACAAATGCCATTCATAGGATTTTGAAGCAGTGTCTCATCTCAACAACCACTATGTTTAACTGTATACAGCAACTGGGGGCAGTAAGAGGCCATATGTATTAAATGAGCAATCATCTTTTTCCACTCTGACACAGCGGGAAGAAACAAAATACACCCACTAGAACCTGTGGCTCACTGTGAATTAGGAATTGGGGGTGGGGGTGGTTAGGAAGAAAGTATACCAGCCACCCCCAATTCCCCGATCAAGCATTGCTTTATTAGCAGTTTGGTCTCTTCCAATTTTATAGCCAGACTATAGAATCTCATAGTCATAATCTTATATCCAAATCACAAGAGAGATGAAGTAAACAACTTGAGAAATACTATTAGGCTTTAAAAGATTTATTCTTCCTTCTCTTTAGGCAATTTTGGTTTCTGAAACTCCTCACTGAAACAAAAAAATAAATGTTCAGACTCAGAATGTGAGCTGCACAAAAAAAGACTTCAGAAATAATCTTGGGGCACCGGGGTGGCTCAGTTGGTTGAGCATCTGACTCTTGGTTTTGGCTCGGGTCATGGTCTTGGGGTCCTGGAGCCCTACATCGAGCTCTATATTGGGCTCTGTGCTCAGTGGGGAGTATGCTTCTTCCCTCCCTCTCCATCTGCCCCTCCCCTCACTAGCACACACACTCTCTCTCCAAAAAAATCTTTGAAAAAAGAAATAATCTCAACTACCTTCCTCATTTTATAGTTGAGAAAATGGTTTCAGAACTGGCCTTGCCCTGAGTCCAGCACCAGAGCAGATGAGCCATGTGATCCCCAAGTCCACTGCTCTCCCATTTTAAGACACTGCCTTCTTAGTCACCCTGACTTCAAGAACTTTTAAATATGGTCAAATATTAGGATTAAGGAGCATTGAGAAATACTGCTTTAGATTTGATAAAAGGTTCCACAATGTGATTATTTCTCTGTGAGGAACCTAATATTGTGAGACACTTCCTAATGCCTTGACTTACATGATAGCCAACTTTAAACACCGTGGTCACACAGCCATTGAGTCTGGAAGAATGACACCCCAGATGATGCTGATGATGTTGCTCTAGTCAACTCAACATTTATGCCAAAAGAAAAGAGAGGTGCTGGGGTGGCTCAGTCTGTTAAGTGTCCACCTTTGGCTCGGGTTGTGATCTTGGGGTCCTGGGATCGAGCCCCACATATGGAGCCCCATGTTGGGCTCCCTGCTCAGTAGGGAATCTGCCTCTCCCTCTACCCCTCTCCCCCCAACTTGGGTGTACGCTAATAAAATCTTAAAAAAAGAAAAGAAAACCCTTTGTGAACAAGCTGAGTAAATTTATATATGCCTTTCTTAAAAGGAAAAAAAAATGCTAGAAATATTCACAATTACCCCCAAATAACTGAACAGAATCCTGAATGAAAACTTCCCATCCCCACCCTAAGTTCAATCTTCTCTGACCCTCCAGGTGCTCATCCAGTTGTTCAGAACACAATGGGCTGCCACCTTCCCTGTAATGTCTAACTTTCTCACATGGCAGGTCATCAACATTTTTGTGATAGATTCAGGAATGTTAGGAACGCACTGATATTTTCAAAAGTTTATTTCTATTATTCCCTTTACCAACAATTCCGTTTTTTTCATATCTCCTGTTCAAATTTTTAAGTTCAATTATATATATTATATGTTTATTATATATATTATATTATACATATATATATTTAAGTTTATTTATTTTTTTTAGTTATCTCTACACCCAATGTGGGGCTTGAACTCACAACCAGGACATCAAGAGTCACATGTTCTTCTGAATGAGCCAGCTAGGACTCGTTAAGTTTAATTTTAAGCCAATCTCCTCCAAAGAGGCTTTCCCCAAGTTAGAATTAATTCCTTCTTTCCTCTGAACTTCAAGAGCACTTTAGCCATGCCTTCCCTATAGCACTTCTCACTATCTCCCTGTATTAAAATCCCTGGGAATGACTTACTTCTTTAAGGGCAAGGTCTTAATTCATTTTAGAACTGTTAGTGAATTCATTCAACAAACATTTCTTGAACCAAATATGCACCCAGTGCACAAGCTATTTTTAGTATTACAAAAAAGCCTACATCTACCAGTAACAAGGGAGCACAGGCAGGCACCTGGCTGGTTCAGCTAGTGGAGCATGCAGCTCTTAATCTCAGGGTCATGAGTTTGAGCCCCATGATGGGCATGGAGCCTACTTAAAAAAAGAAAGAAGCACAGGCTAACTAAAATCCTTGCTTTGGGCTGAAATTATATCAACTCAGCAGAGTAATCAGATAATCTGCTTACCAGATATGTATATATACACACAAATATATAACTGATTAGTAATAAATGGATAGTTTGTCTAGAAATAACATTAAAAATATTAGAGACACCCGACTTGCACTTTGGTGTAATGGAAGAGTAAATGAAAGAGTATGTATGTATAGGCTCTGGAATGTAGCTTTTACAGCCTACCCAACCTGAGTTTCAATCCTGGCTCCTCCACTTTAAGTAGATTATGACTGACTTGACACTTTGATCAGATACTTAACCCAAGTCTCACTTTCCTTGTTTGTAAAATACGGATAATATCACTGATCTCATAGGGTTATTATAATGATCAAAGGAAATTACATCAAGTGCCTATTACTGGGTCTTTCTTCTTTACCAATTTATTGTAATGTTTACTGTCTGTTACAGTTTCCTTTTCCAGTGTCTGCATTTTAAATGGGAAAAAACCTCCACAATTTCAAGAAAATAACAAATCCTGCATTTGATTCTGCCCAGAAATCAAATGTACAGCACGTAGGAAGTACATAAAAATTTTTGTTGAACAAGACTGGTGTTAGTTGCAGACAGCTTTCAGGGTACACAAACCTAGCCACCTGTGACGGAGACAGACAGAGCTGGGGCTATTTCTGACCCTGACAGTACTTACAAAAATAATTATTAGGATTTCATTTTCTTTCTGAACACAGGAAGAAGATGCTACTTTATGCACAGTTACTAACATATCCAAAACCCTAATGGGAGGTTCTTTTTTCTTTTCTTTTTTTTTAAAAAAGATTTTATTTATTTATTTGACAGAGAGAGACACAGCAAAAGAGGGGACACAAGCAGGGGGAGTGGGAGAGGGAGAAGCAGGCTTCCTACAGAGCAGGGAACCCGATGCGGGGCTTGATCCCAGGACCCTGGGATCATGACCTGAGCCGAAGGCAGACACTTAACTACGCCCCTTTTTTCTTTTTTTTTTAAGTAAGCTTTATGCCCCCAAGATTAAGAGTCCCATGCTCTACCAGCCAGGTGCCCCGTTAATAGGAGGTTCTTTTTTTTTTTTTTTTAAGATTTTATTTATTTATTCATGAGAGATAGAGAGAGAGAGGCAGAGGGAGAAGCAGGCTCCCCGCGGAGCAGGGAGCCCGATGCGGGACTAGATCCCAGGACCCTGGGATCATGACCTGAGCTGAAGGCAGACGCTTAACCGACTGAGCCACCCAGGCGTCCCAATAGGAGGTTCTTAATACAAGAGAAACTTTTGAATTTTACTCTTGACTTTACTGTCAAGCTTCATAAAAATAGATACAACGTATTATAAAATTTTTTATCCTCCATGACACTTTGCACGCAATAAGGACTCAATACATATCTACTTAAACAAACCTGTATTTTTGTATTGTCCCCTTACGGTCAACTTGTCAATTCACATACTTTGTGATACCTATGTATGCTACTTATGGATGTCTAATGAGAAATCTAAGAATGAGCAAACCTGACCTCAGGGACTCAGGTCAGTCAGATAAAGAAACCAGAATCCTAAATAGGTCACCAGGAAAATAAATAAACACAATGAGGTAAGTATAGGCATGAATGTGCTACCAAGGCTCACTACATTAAACCAGTAAGTACTCACAGAGGCAAAGGTGCCAATCTGTTTGATATTCTGTTCATAGCTCTGTGAGCTGGTGGGACGGCCGGGGGTCCTTCTGGAGTACCAGAAAGTATAGTTGTACTGCAGGGGATGCTCTGCTGGTCCAGGGACAACAGCCTGTGAATTAAATAAGGTGTGTTAATCCGGGGCATTTTTCACATGATCTGAGACACAGAAAACATTTTACAGTGTCACCCATTACCACCTCCACAAAAAGGACACATCTTCAATTACCTGCAATATGCCCAAGATTCCACTTAGTGGTTAACTAACTCTTTAGTGGTTAACTGACTCTAAGTTCCTGTAACATTTTATCTGTGTTCTTATGGTGTTTGTAACTTTCTGTTTCCTATCTTAGGTATTTATGTTTATATCTTATCTCAGCCAAGTACTCCCAGGCCAAGTACTGGCCTCCTCTATGACACTATCACTTACTGGCTAGTAACCTGGGCAAGCTGCCTCACCAGTTTCTGCCTCTGTTGCTTATCTGCAAAATGAAGAAAATAATAATAACAACCATATCACAGGGTTGCTGAGAGAATCAAATAAATTAATAGATGAAAAGTGCTTAGCACAGTGCCCGGCACATAGTAAGTGTTCGGTGTCAGCTACCATTATTACTGCTACTATTAAATGTAAGCCCCTTGATCCATAGTCTCATTCACTTTTGTGTTCTCTTAGCACCTACAATGCTTGTATCTGGATAGTCCTCAACCTCATGAGAGAAACAATTGTTCTGATATTTCAAAAAAAGAAATTGATTCGGGATACCCGGGTGGCTCAGTCGGTTAAGCATCTGCCTTCGGCTCAAGTCATGATCCCAGGGTCCTGGGACTGAGTCCCACATCAGGCTCCTTGCTCAGCAGGGAGCCTGCTTCTCCCTCTGCCTGCCATTCCCCCTGCTTGCGTGCACTCTCTCTCCCTGACAAATAAATAAAACCTTAAAAAAAGAAAGAAAGAAATTGATCCATCAATCTCTCATTCTCTAAACTTTCTCCTTTCTAAGTAACTTTCAGCTTAGATTAATACTGACTAAAGAGTCTAAAATTTCAAGGGATGTGTAGGATTAAATATTCAGCAGCAGCTTATGAAGCAAAAAATAGCCCTGTTAAACTCCAGGGTTCATCTCTCGTGCTGGGAGAATGCTGGAAAGCAAGGCAACATCTCAAGGTCCCGTGGCAAGGGAAAATTTCTAATTCCCAACATGAACGCCAGTGATTCAACAATCTTTTTTTTTTTTTTTTTAAAGATTTTATTTATTT